CTTTGATTGATACTACTCAAAACAGTAGTACCGACACTTCGAAGAATTGAAACCGTTCCTGTTAAACGTTCTCCAAGGAGCCACTGAATCTCCAGGACTACTTACTCCTTTGGGTTTAAAAAAAAAAAAGTGCCAAACCTGATTTCTCTACCTGGAATGCAACTAGGCCAGCAGATCCCTTCAAAGCCACTGTTTCGAGTGCACCTTGTTCTCTTGATTGCAACTTGCTTTCTGGATTGTATTGGCAAATATCACTCTCATCCCAAGTAACAATTCATTCTATAAACTTGTCTTCATTAGCTTTGACCTTGCTTGATAGTCTGATCTTCAGCTAGCTGATCTTTAACCAATGATTCTGGCACCTAATGAGCAGAATGCTTGCTAATGCCAAGCTGTTGGTTTAAAATTAAAAATGCAGAATCATGAGATCTCAACTTTTTAAACTTTTGCTCAATGATAATTCTAGTTTTCTTCCACCAGTTTCTGAACTTCAGCCGGTTTCCTCATTCATTGAGTTTTATAGTCTTCCTTCCTTTGGTTCATATTTTAAGTGTTCCTAGACATGCTTAAGCTGTTTTATCCATCTAAAAATCATTATTTTATGGGCAAGATCCTTGTAACTTGTAAAATTTTGGTAACTCAGGGAGATGTCCACTTGATTGTGTTAAAAAGAAGAGATTAGCTGTGACCTGCAAGAAAAATTTCCAAGGTACAAAAAGTATCATTTCCATTTGTTTAAGGCATCATAAAGAGACTATGCTATGCATGGGCTCACAACAATAGCAACCAGCTCATGGGCACCATGCAAGAGCAGCAGCAAGGAGACTGAGCATGTGTCTTGCTGCATTTGTATGCGGTGATTCATTGATCTGAGACATGCTTCAATATATTGTGCTTGTAATAAACCCATGCATGAACTTCTACCCGAGACAGAGTTCATTTTGACTTACCTTCACAAATATAGTTTCAACTTTTTTAGACAGGTTATCATGTTGTTGCTCCCAGATGTCTTACTGACTGACCTCTAAGTCCCTCACCTTATATAATGACTGACAGCCATCCACAGCCTAGTGTGAAGCACTACAAGTCATCCAGACAGAGCTGGTGAGAAAAAGTCTCCATATTGATTGGCTCCACAGAGACGTCTCTTGGGGAGTTTACAAATCTCAATACCTGGTCCCAAGTGCCTGATGTAGTTGATTAGAGCTGATCCTACCATTTTTAAGCATTTGAGAATACGTATAGGCAGAAAGGGTTTTTAGTAAGGGATAACCTGGGTGGTAAACATTGAAGCAAAATGCCTTGGCATTCTTTTATTCAAGCTCATATTTCCCCAGAGTTTAATATGAAGATTCGATTACAGTAACTCCCTTTTTGTAACTCATTTTCAAGGGTCCTATGTATTTAGGGATCACTGACTGCAAGCCTGTCCACTTATCGTTGCTAGATCTCTTACAACAGCCACCCCTAAGCAAAATGAAATGGTGAATCCTCTTCAGGAAGACTATCATATACTGATTCAGCTCTCCAGCACCCTGCTTGTAAGGGTGCAGGATTACTCAGTAACAGAAAAGGGAAGCCACTATTATTGATAGTGCAGATTGATTTTATAAATTACAAGTAATAAATCGACACTAACATCTAAAGAACATTTCATTTGTTTTTCATCCTTTGTAAGATCAATTAGTAAAATACTCAGTGAGGCAAACCCAGCAATATTGTCTACATTGTCAAGATGTGATAACTGAGGCGTAAGAAATGTAGTTTACTATGAAACGACAGATATTTTAACAAAGCATGAAATGTTCTGCTGATTTCAGAAGTAAGCTTCCTTCCTAAATATCACCTGCCATCTGCTACAGTAGGGGTAGAATAAAATACAAACATTCCCTGGTTCATATCATATGAAGGTTAAATTTAAATAGGAAGAACATATGTCCCTGGTGGTATAGAAGTTACCAATTGGGCTGCAATCCACAAGGTCCACAGTTTGAAGCCAGCAGCCACATCTCAGGGGACAGATAGGGTTTTCTACTCCTCCTAAGAGTGACAGTCTCAGACACTCACAGGGGCAGTTCTACCTGGCCTGCACGGTTGCTATGGGTCGCCGTGGACTAAACAGCAGTGAACTATGCAAAAGTACTCTCACTGTGGTGAAAGATACACACACTTAGAGATATATCCTCTCTTCACCCATGTCAAAAATATCAGTGTGCTAATTGTTTAGTAGAGCTTATTCTATCAATGCATGTTTTAAGAACTTGCTTTACTATCTACACCCAATGTTATCAGAAGGCTTCTAAAATATACTTAGCAGATTATAATTTAGGAATACAGGAAAACCTTCCAGTGGTATAATCCAGGGTAAAAACACAGTTACCATCATACTGAAATATTCTTAAGATGCATCATGTACCTTAGGTTTTAAAGAGATAATATATATATTTTTAAATGATAAAGATGATTCAAACAACACTAAGATTAACCATATACAGTGTAGTAACATAGTGAACAAGATAATTCAATTGATACTTTTTCAGATTACAGTGTTATGAATGTTATAAAACTTGATAAAATAATAATGAACTATTTTATTACACATCTGAAATTTAGAGATTTCAGAGATGCAATTCACATTTAGAGATGCAATAGTAGAGTTTTGCCATTTGTTCAAGGGTAAAAGAGAAACTATGGTGCTCTCTTTGAGCATTTAAAAACTACTCAATAGTAAAAGATTACCTCCTAATAGATTTCCGTTCCCAACTTAGTATCATTACAATAAGAAAGCCAAGTTGAGACGTTGGAGGGAGTTTTACAGAAGGCTATTGTTTTTTAAAGATCACTTTACCTATAATTTATGATATCATATTTTACATAAAAACATATCAATTCAATTTCATAGAAAACATACTGCTTTTAAAATGTCCAATGATAATGAATAATCCATGTTTTATCCTCCAGCTCCCCTCAAGATCTTTTCTCCCTGGCCACTCTGAGAACCAAGTCAGAGCCTCATTTGTCTGCATCATAGAGGTTGTCGACCTACAGGACAATTGGGTAAAGACAAGGAGGCTGGGATGTTCTATATTAAAAAGCTGAACTGGAAGCGCATGAGATAGGATGATGTGAGATCCCAGAGTACATCATTGGAAGGGACTAAAACAAGCAGCCATCTAAGTAAGGTATCAACGGAATCCAAATGGAAGAAGCACACCAGCCTGTCTTAATGGAGAAAATAAAATTTTATTTCAAGATAATTAGAATAGTAATGCCTGCAGAATGCATAAAACTGAAGTTTCAAGGAAGGAAGAAATAAAGGAAACCTCAAAGGTTGTTGATGAATCCAGAAGGAAAAGGTGACCATTTTAAAAGACAAATGTTCTCGAAAAGAGGACAAGTGACAAATCCAAACACGATCCCCTATGAATATCTTCACATTTTAAGTGTGAGAATGATTCACAGTTTTCAAAATGTATCAAATTGCAAACTTAAAAATGGATTGTTTGTAACATTTCAACTCAAACCTAAAACAAACAGACAAACAAAATCTATCTTAGTTAAAAGATACAAAAGACAAATAAGTGGCCATCTTCCATTCAGTAGGAACTCCAGTTGCCATATTGGAATCTTGAAAGCAATAAGGAATTTGTACATTTACCAAAATCATACACATATATATTCCCACTTGATAAAATTCCACCAATAGCTTAAACGTGTCTTAAAATAATATTTTGAATTAAAGTAACAACTTAAATTTGCTTAATAGAAATGAATTGGGGGGATGGTAACATGCAATGTGGTGGATGTTGGCATGGAAAGAAAGTTTGTATTGTCATGGACTATCTAGCTATGAATTGAGAAGAGAGGGTTGTAAGAAGAAAGATAATAGGCTTGTCAATCTAATCATCTTCTATTCAGCGAATATTTATTGAACACATGAGGGTTGGGCATTGGGAATCTTTGCAAAAGAACCATGTTCCAGTCCTATTTTCATTGCTTGAAAGTGAGGAGGAGAAGGAATTAAGCAAGCAAGTCATCTCACAAATGTTTAATTATTTTGTGAAGAGAAAGAAGCAAAAATAAAAACCTTGAAAAAATAAGCCAGAGTGTCAGGGACAGTTTCTCTGGAAAGTTGTCCTTGGCCTGGGATGTGAAGAATGAGTCATCATTAACTCTGAACGTGCCAAGACCTAGAAAAATACTCAGTTCTTTGACTGACTGAGACAGGAAATGATCATTCAGGAGTTATTTAGGAAATAAAATTTATGTGGCTAGGTGCCATTCTTGTACCATTGCTCTGGGTCCATGTGCAGTCCGTCATAAAGTTGTCTTGCCGTGGGTAACATGCACAGAGGCAAACAATGCAGGGAAGAGAGAGATGCCATGCTTCTGATTCTGTGGAACCTGATTTTCAACTAACGATGCTGAGTAAGCAGCATTCTAGATAAAAAGATAGAGAGTGGGGAAAGATAGAGCTAAGAGAGATGGGAGGCTGGTTGTTTAATGGATGACAGGTGACAGACAATAAATACATTTATGGGGGAAAAAAGACCTGGAAATGTAAATTTTGAAACCATGCAAATAAATATAATTTTATTATAATCCTTTATCTTAACAACCTCCAATCACCTCCTTCATTCTTAAGTCCTGGATTTTCATTGACTCTGTCTGAAGTTTTCCCAATCAATCCTCCCTAAAGTCTAAAATTGACTCGAGTCTGTTTTCATCTAATAATGGAAAACAACCTTATGATTTCTGAAGCAGTAACAGACAGGCTACACTACACAGCCACACACACACATCCAACTCTCTATCCATCTGCCTAATTCCAGCAAGCATTACCAATGACAAGTGCAGATAGAAAGGAAAACATATGACCATTTCTCTGAGCAAACATGCACTGGTGCTGGAGAAAAATCCATTCTTTTCCTGGGCTCAGAGGGAAACTCCACTGCTTTTACAACCATCTAACTCTTCCTAAGTCATACTATTCTGTTTACCTTGTTTGCGCACATCCTCTACAGCAGCAACCAATTCTTCTTTGAGATCTTGGCTCTCCTTCGCAATCTGCTCACCCTTTTCCAGGAAGTTCTGCGTGGCTTGCTCGACCGATGCAGCTAGCACATGGGCTTTCTTAGACCTTCCTTTCTTTTTACCAGATGGGCCTTTGTTGCTTGTGTTGACAAGGGTTGTCACCTTAAATACATAGAAAAAGAGAGAAAAATGGTAAAAATCTTCTACACAACTCTTTAGATAAAAGATTTTATCACTTTATAATTTCGAAAAATACCCAGCTCAGGAAATCTTGAAGTCCTATGTCATCTCAAGGAATATATATATTATGATAGATTTATCTGTGAATACACCGCTACTCAGAGTTCATCTGGAGAAAAATAAAGGTAAGGAGCTTATATGAAAGTATGGCAGAAAGGCCAGTAGCACAAAGTTTTCTACTCACTCCAATGTGTACGTTCCCAGACTGACTTGTGAGTGTTCCTGGCAACAGTAAGTCTCAAAGAGTCAAGGAAAGAAAGGGAAATGTGAAATTCCCTCGGGTCATCAAGGGAAACTACTTGCAGACTAGTGCACTCAGACGTCCAAGCTCCCCTTTAGTCGCCAGGGCTGTTCAGCATTTGTAGCACCTAGAGACTGCCAGGGCAGACTGCAACCCGGTTCCATGCAAAAGTCTCCACAGTGTTCTGTGTCGCTACGACAATCTAGCAGTTCCCCATTGACAATGACCAATCCCGTCATCATTGAGCCAAGCCTGTTCATGGCCAATCCATGTACGTATGTCAAAGAGGAACAGTGCCCCACAGAATTTTCAATGGCAGTTTTAAAAAAAAATTATATCATTTTATTGGAGGCTCTTACAGCTCTTATAACAATCCATACATCAATTGTAGCAAGCATGTTTGCACATATGTTGTACGCTTTTGTACATCATTTTCAAATCCGTTTCTTTCCGTTTGAACCCTTGGTATTAGCTCCTCTTTGTTCCCTCCTTCCCCCACCCTCCCATGCTTGTGAATCCTGATACTCATTATTTATGTGCCACTTATCAGGGAATTGTAAAGAATTTTTCTTTTTCTAATTACAGCTTAATTTGTTGATTGCACCAAGCCAGTAATGATCCGTGGTGGCCCCGTGTACAATCAAATGAAAGCCTGCCTAACCGTCCCACTGCTGTGGTGTGGGAGTCCATGGCAGTGGTCAGTGGTCCAGGCCTCCTACCGAGGCACTTGCTCTTTTTTTTGCTGATTCTCTACTCCAAGGAGCATGGTGCAGTTTTGCAGGGATGGAGCTCTTGTGATAGGGCTGATTTGATCGGCGTGACCTAATTGATTCAGGCTCAACTGAACCTTACCCAGCTAAAGTTTCCAGAATTAAAATCCGATTTACATTATCCTCGCTCTTATCTATAAGTGTTACAACGTTCACCTCCCAAACTATCTCCAGAGCACTTGGTGGAGAGTTATTTAATTTTCTGACAAAATTTTTAAATGTGTTTAAACAACTTATCTCCTGTAGGCTCCTGAATCTTACTTTTCTATCACGGATACGTTTGGGAGGGGATTAATAAAACTATTTCATTTCCTGTGTTGCAAACATTGCCAGTCATAGTTCTGTCGATGACTTTTATTAAAGATGCTAGCTACCTGGTTTACGTTAGGCATTTGTCCTGCTCTCAAGATTAAAGAATGTATTGGTAGTCATGAGACCACCGCATAAAAGTTAGGGAATGAGACTCAAGATCCAGCTCCAGGAGCAAGTGGAGGAACAAAGAGGATTTGACCTTTATCCTTCTCTCTCTCTTCCACAAACGGTATTATGGCACCACGGGGGTGCCCTCTGCCTGTGACCCAATTACCAAAAGCACTGCCATCAATTCGATTCCAACTCACAGTAACCCTTTAAGACAGGGTAGAACTGCCCTTGACAGTTCCTTCCCTTGTGAGGCTGTCACTCTTTACAGGGGTAGAAAGTCCCATTCTTCTCCAGACTCAGGGTTGTCTAGTTGACATAATCTCTAACCATCACAAAGTCATATTCTTCTATTCTACTTGTGCTTGCAAGTGTTTACATGTAAACGTGTGAAAGTTGAAATTCTTCTGCTTCAGTTTCTTCTTGATATTTCACAGGTGAGTAAATCAGACTTGAAAGGCACCTGATGTGTCCATTCACATTTCTTTTTTGTTCCCAAACTCAAAGAATTTTTCAAGAACATGACCAAAGCCTGCTGAAAATAACAAAACAGTCAATTTGATGTGATGTGAATTGAAGAGCTCAGAATTCATTGGGCGATGATTATAAAAATGGAGGGCCTGTAAAAAAACAATAACTTTATATTTTGATATTATTGTTTAATAATAGTTTCTTTGTAGTAATACTTAAGAAAATTTGGTTCTTTTATAATGATACCTTTAGACTTATCCTACACACGCCCCCAAAACAGAACAAAACAACACAAAAAAACCATCATGTCAAATTTGACTCAGAGTAACTCTATGAAGCTGCTGACGTTATAAATCGTTACAGGAGCAGAAAGTCTGAACGTTCTCCAGAAGAGTGGCTGGTAGGTTTGAATTTCCAGCCTTGAAGTTAGCCTTCCTGGTAGATGATTGGAAATGATGGGACCAAGCCTAGGAATAACTGTGAGGATGAGGCAGGAGGGGCGGTTTTGCCTTCCGTTGTGCACAGGGCAGCTATGGGTCAGAGCTGACTTGATAGCACATAATAACAATGCCCTGAAGCAGCTTATTCTTAAAGATTGCTAAGACAACAAATAAGACGGCTTTGATTGCTTGAACAGTTTAAAATTAATCAGCCTTTGGAGATGAATATTTGAAAACACGATTGTAAAAAAAATCTAGCTAGCTATCTAAGAATAACTGAAGATTAAGATGTAAAAACTCTAAATGAGGAAAATCTTAAATAGACAGGTGTCAAATGGAAATATTATAACATCAATCCTCTACAGTGAAATCTAACATCTAGTTCAAAGAAAACCCCCAAACACAAAGGTTGAGTAATGAGTCAAGCTGATGTTTCCCTAGAATTATTCTACCTTGATAATATGATTTATTCTTTTATCAATTATGTGATAAACAAAAATATGACTTGTGTTCTTTTTAATTAAAATACACATGAAATTACAAACTCTGTACTTAAAAGTTGTTTCCTAGAGTACATTTCCATAAGCTATAACAAAAGAAATAGAAAGGAAAAGACTGTTCAATGCCCTTGACTCCTAGTGACACCATAAGGCTGGGAAGAACTGCCCTTGTGGGTTCCGAAACTGTAGCTCTTTACAGGAGGAGACAGTCGTGTCTTTCTCCTGAGGAGCAGCTGGTGGTTTCGAATTTCTGATCTTGCAGTTAGCAACCCAATGCATAACCACTATGCCACCAGCTCTCCTGGGCATAGGTATATTGTAAATGCTCGCGAAGGAAGTTAGACACGTGCTGGAGCAAAAGGACAGAAAAACATTACAACCTCACTAATAACTGAAGTAAAGCTTCCTATTGTAGAAACAGTTACACTGTAATTGCTGGTTGAACTCATCAGCTTCACACAATTTTACTGATTGATTGATTGCTTTAATGGTAGTTTGGATGAAAGTTTACAGAACAAATTAATTTTCCGTTCTCAAATTATACACATTTAATTTCATGATATTGATTGTGAAACTTTGCCCTATTTCCTCCCTCCCCAATTTCCTTGTGTCCTTCTCCCTACTTCCTGCCTTCTAATGGTGAATCACACAGAGGAGTACATCCTCTTGTCTTTTATGATTTACTCTGTAAACCTGTTCACTGATAGGGATGAGAAAGTTTGAGTAGGTGCGGTAGGGGTAGTGTTCAACTCCAGCTTGAAAGATATCCAAGGGCCACATTTCCGCTGCCATTTTAGATAAAAAGAAGCAAATCGTAACTGTTTTGATTATCGATGCCTCTGTAGCTCCTGTTCTTTTATAGTACTTCAAAACTATCCCCCCTGAAAATGACCCTGTAATGCTGCATTAGTAATTAACTGACAGATAAAACAGAGATATATGCTGTCCTTTATCGTTAATGCTTCTTCCCAGTGATCTGATATTAATGTGTAGAAATCAGAAGTATGTCCACTGATGGGGGGGGGGGGGGGGGGGGGGGGCGGGGATCGGAGCACATGAAGGTCTGGAGTTATTTATTGCTCAATCCTGATCTTACATGAATTGATGCAATTTAGTTATTGGTGGGGAAAAGGCCTATATATAAACTATTTTATAATACTCTTATTTTCTGTAGAGTCACACTAAACTTCTAAAGAGACACATAGGCAGTGGTTCTATTACTTTAGTATACATTGTCTAAACCTTTTTTTGGTAGATTTTAAAAAGAAGTAGCATCCAAAAATTAATTTAAAATGGATGCTTTAAACTTGAATTCTGAGCTCAATGTACAGTAAAATGAATAATCAGTTACTCCAAATTTTAAAATAACATTTTTTGTGACTAAAAACTGTGGAGTAAAATAATAGGATACACTCATCTCTTCTGTGGCTTAAACTTAATCCCTAGGAGCTATCTCAGTAGATGGTGTAGCCAGGCCTTATCTTTAGAAATATGTTCTTCAAAAGACACAAAATTTGTCTTAGAAGTTGTTAACACAAAAATTTTCTCCATACTCTGCTAAGACATCACATTTGTGATGATAATCTCCAGAGTGTATGATCTAAATCTACAATGGCCCAAAAGCCTATACAGAGGAACAAACTCCAATTTGCTTTAAGGATATTCAATCCATCTTTTTCTCCAATTATAAAATCTCAATCATGCTGAACTAAAAAGATAAACAAAACAGACATTGCATTAGATTGTAATGCATATAAATGCTTTTATTAACTTATTGTTACACTACTTGCTTCAATCAAAGTTTACAGCCAACAGTTCTAGGCAGCTCACTGTGTATACTCTGAGAATGTTGAGAAGATATTGTTCTTCTTGTAACACAAGTGAACTTGCGTACCAAGATTAGAGTCCTGTACATGATTTCAGAAGGTAAATATTGGTGATTTTCTTTAGAAACTGGAACTGTTTTATACATTGAATTCTGTAATGAATTAAAGTTTCATTTGAAACACTGACTTTAAAAATGTTAAATCCAAATTTGTAGTGCCTGGGGGAAGGCAAAGTTACTTGGTGATTATTATTA